CCCTGTAGGGTGTGGGGGCTGCAGAAATGAATTAACCCAGTCCCCTCCCCCTGTTGCTCCTCGGGCTCAGAGGCTGCAGGGGAGACAAGGCTCGCTAGAAAGCCATGAGTGGAGGAGAGGCATCTCTGGCTCACTCTTTTTTTTTTTTTTAAAATATATTTTATTGATTTTTTACAGAGAGGAAGGGAGAGAGATAGAGAATTAGAAACATCGATGAGAGAGAAACATCGATCAGCTGCCTCCTGCACACCCCCCACTAGGGATGTGCCCGCAACCAAGGTACATGCCCTTGATCGGAATCGAACCTGGGACCCCTCAGTCCGCAGGCTGACGCTCCATCCACTGAGCCAAACCGGTTTCAGCTGGCTCACTCTTTTAAAAAATATATATTTATTGCCCTGACCGGTTCGATTCCGGTCAAGGGCATGTACCTTGGATGTGGGCACATCCCCAGTAGAGGGTATGCAGGAGGCAGCTGATCGATGTTTCTCTCTCATCGATGTTTCTAACTCTCTATCCCTCTCCCTTCCTCTCTGTAAAAAATCAATAAAATATATATATATTTTTAAAAAATATATATATTGATTGATTGATTTCAGAGAGGAAGGGAGAGGGAGAGAGATAGAAACATCAATGATGAGAGAGAATCATTGATCAGCTGCCTCCTGCACACCAGCAACTCAGGTATGTGGCCTGACCGGGAATCAAACTATGACCTCCTGGTTCATAGGTCGATGCTCAACCACTTAGCCACCACGGTCAGGCCCTGGCTCACTCTAGTTGTGTGTGACTTGTCTTTTATATGCCATTGATCTGGACTGGGTTTTTCTCTTCTCTTTATTGCGCAAAAGTTACCAGTCTGCCCATCGGGATGTCTGGGGGAGTCAATTTCCCCCATTTTAGGGAAAAGATTTTTCAACAAGATTGGGGAATTTCTAAGAGTCTCCAGCAAGGGTGTCTGAGTGTTATAAAAGCAAATTCATCATCAGAATTGATATGGCTCATCTAGGAACAAGCAAAAATTCCCCTTATGTTCTTAACATAAAAAAAAACAGAAAATCATGCCCAACTGAGCTGTTGACTGGTGAGGGGCATAGGGGCAGAATGAGAAGATTCAAAATGTGCCTGAAATTTTGTGAATGACATGTTCTTCATTACATGTGCGTAGGGTGAAAATAGAATGCACATATTATGATCAACTTTAAAATAGTGCATTTTATATTTTTAAGTTGTTGCAGAACAGGTTATAACAGCACCTACCCTCTAAAGCCACATAGCTACCATTTATTGAACACTTCCCCTCAAACACTGTCCTAGCAACTTTATGGGGTGAGTCTATCACCACCACTTTGTAGGTGAGGAAATTGAGGCACAGAGAAGTTAAGCACCTTGCCCTGGGCAGGGGTGGGGGTGAGTGGGGGGGAATGAGTAAGAGACACAAGTGGGTCTGTCTCATTTCAGGTCCTGTGCTCCAGCCGCTACATTAAACCATCCCCTGAGAGCCCGTGTCATCTCTCTGGGCCTCAACCTTTTTCATCTGTAAAACAGAGATAAAAACTACAACAAAGGACTCACTTGAGGATTTAGGGACAATACTTGTAAAGTATGGAGGTCACTGCCCAACACACTGCCATTAATACCATCTAAGATTAATATCAAGCATACTCCTGTACTCAGGCTGCCAGGAAAGGACCATTCTGAGCAGGGGTCTGAGAAGACTGCGGCCAAGAGTCAGGGACAGGCGAGGGATGAGGAGAAGCTCCTTGCTTTAATAAACTCACCTCTGTGTCTCCGCCCCCTTTCTGGCTCCCTGGACTCCATCCTCTGCGGAAGGGGCCAGGGTCCCTCTGGGCAGAGGAGTCTGTTTTGGTCCCATTTCCATTACACACTTGGCTGAGCAGAGGGGAAGGGGAGCCAACGCCCCCGGGCGCCAGGCAGTAATTAATTGTCTATTTGGACTCCTGCTGGGGCCTGGATGGGGTGGGGGGTGGTGGTGGGGATGTGGGACAGCTCCCGCCTGGGCCTGGGCTGGCTGACGCTGAGAGGAGAGTGTCTGCTCATCCTGCCTCCACTGTCTCCTCTGAATCCAGGCCCAGGCTGGTTGTGGAGGGACCATGGCAGAGCAGAGACCACTTCTGTCCGCTTTGATAAAAGGACCTTGCGGGCTGGGCCAGCGTTACCTCTGTCTCGTGGCTCTCTTAAGGTAGTTAAGTGATGCTTTGCGTTAGCCTCCGGGAAGCAGCTCCAGTGAAGGGAAAAGCATCCTACACTCAGAGTTTTGGGACCTGGGATTTGTCCCGGCTTTTCCATCCCGTGGCTGTGTGCTTGGGCGAGGCACCTGCCGTCTCAGAGTGCAATCACTTTCCTCCTCTGGAACACGGGCGGAGGGGAGGCTGTTATGCTCTTGTGGACTTGAGCTTTTTGTACCTTTCTCTTGGAGAAACCTGCTTTCTTCCTCGTTTCATAATTATCCTTCTTAATACGTATGATATGGGTGGGGCTAACGCTGCAAACCCCAGGAACAGAGATGTGACCCAGGCCTACACATCAGATTCTCTGTGAGGCTTTTTTCCCTAGCACATGGGAGAAAAAATTCCTGTTACTTACAACCTAAAGAGGCCTGGATAGTACAATCGCTACCTACTATTGAAGGTAGTAGGTGTGAGCTATAGACACAATGTAGCTGATAGTATTCTGCAAGCCTCAAGCCACATGGTAGATCTTTGAATAAGAGCATCACCATCATCACCTGGGCCTGTAGGATACAGGGGTGAGTTTACCTGGTCAAAGCCAGAGCTACGGCAGTCCCTCCTGCACCAAACATTGGGAGCTTGATCCTCACCTCACTCCCATGCATGTGTCTTGGTTCTCACCCCCCAGTGTCTGCGCATCCAGCCCATCCCTCTCTGTACAGGGCACAAGCTGAGGTGGCCCTGGGGCAGCCTGGACCACTTCTTGTCCATTTACCTGGAAAAGGCTCCTCCCTCTCCTCCTTCAGTCTTTCCTCACATGCCACCTTCTTACCACAGCACCCATCCTTCCTATTGCTCGTCTTGGATTTCTGTTTCTCCATGGCACTGATTACCACCTGATCTAAAACATATTGCAGTTATTTATCTTCCTTATTATCAGTCTCCCCCAAGAGAATGAAGGGCCATGAGGGCAGGATTTTTCCTACGTTGTGCACTGGTGTATCCCGGCTCCTAGAACAGCGCCTCTCACGTGGTACGGGCTCAGTCAGTAGTTGTTGAATGAGTGAGTGAATGAATGAAAGTTGCTGCATGGTGGAGGCTATGCTAGAGGGAAGCATAGGGACACAGGGTATCTACCCTGCCCCGAGGGGAGTGGGTTGGGGGAGGCTTCCTGGAGGATTCACAGGAGGAGGCTCTGCCTCCATTTACCCACTTGCACACAGGGCCACTCTCGGAGCAAGGTTGTGGCTCAGTGGGTGATGTAGATATCCAGGACTTACGTGGGGCCTGTGAACAATGAAGGCAGTAGAAATAGTCCCAGCCTCTACATTCTGGTCCCATGGGTGGCATGAGGTTTCCTGGTTCTTTCCACCTAGGTCCACATTAGCCCCTTGTACAGGCGAGGGGGCCGGCTATAGCTGTTAGGAGCTGGGGAAGCAGGGCCGACACAGTGGTTGTGCAAAGTGTCTCTGAAGGCAAAGGAAGACCAGTGAAGAGATAGGTGCAATTCTCCAGGTGGCAATGAAGTTGGACCTGGGGCCATGGCAGAGGGGCAGGAAGGCAGTGACCTCCATGCTGGGGACTGACATGTCAGCAAAGCCAGGCCTAGTCCCTGCCCTCATGGAGCTTGTGATCTGGTGGGAGAGCCGTGTGCATGGAGTGCTAGAGAGGAGAGGTTCAGGGGCAATGACAGCCATTGCTGGGGAGCATGACCCAGTGGAGGAGGAAGAGGTGGACACAGTGCTCCTGGAGGAGGAGCTGACAATGCATCGTGGACCCAGAGGACAAGGAACATGCCTGTCCCTGAGGCTCAGCTCACGTGGTACCTTTTTCAGAAACCTCAGCTGGCCTCTGTGCAGCGGCACCTGCTTCCTTCTCCGCATCCCCCTGTTTCCTATCACTTGGGACATGGCTGGTGGTACTTACTTAGGTGTCCACCAGCCCCTACAGATGGGCCCTTCCAAGGCTATGGCCCTGACCCATTTGCCTCTGTCCCCCTCCCCCAACTGCAGCTCCTGGTGCTGGCAAAGAGTCAGTGTCACTGTGTTGTCATGACCCCATGGCAGATCAGGGGTGGGGTGGGGTGGAGCAGACACATTTGCCATCACTCTGTCTTAGGTGAGCTTCCCCTCAAAGCAAGGACTTGGTGCAAGTGGTTGATTTGGGAGATGATCCCAGGAAGCAGGTGAGGAAGGCGGAGGGAGAAAGCCAGTGGAAGAAGCCTCAAGCCTCTGCATAATGAGTGAGTTGCCCACTGTAGCAGTTGGGCTCTTTCCTCTGAGGAATCACACAGACTGAACCTCAGGATTGTCCCACCAAGGGAAGGGGAGCCTGGAGTATTGGTCCGCTGAGAGGACACCCCCCCCAGCACTTCCAGGTCACGTGGCACCAGGAAAAGCCTTCAGGGTGAGAAGAAGAGGGAACTAGACACTGAGATGAAAGCTGCCAATGGCTCTGGAACTGCCTACGGAGCCCGGAGATGGCGGAGGGGATGTGGGGCAGGGCATCACCGGCCTGCTGCCATCCCACTCCCGACTCCCAGCGCTCACCAAGCCACTCTGCAACCTTCTGCGTTGGACACAGCTGCAATGTTTTTCTCCCATGGTGCCCTGGGCAGGCATCAGCTCATCAAGGGGGCATATTTGTTGTTCTAGTGAAGACCATGGACCCATAGATCAGACCCAGAGCCCTCCCCCCACTTCAGCATTGGGCAAAAGGCTGAAATGGCGCTGTGTATGCAGACATGTGCTGAAACAGTCTCTGAAATGACCCCAGAACAAAGCCAACCACGTACTCCCAGGAGCTGACCGTTGAGCAGCTGGGTCCCTCGTAGCGGGGTCTTTTCCATGCAGTACATCCTGTAGGAAGTTGCCAAGGCAGATGGTGGGGCTGCCCAGGGAGACAGGCTGGGTTTACCAAAGAGCAGCGGCATCTGACTGCGCAGACTCGGCCTCCAGACAATGTGAGGAGGAATCCCATCCAGGTGGAGCTGGAGACTTTAGCAGATCCCGCCGGCCTGGTGCTGCCTCCCCAGGTCAGAGGCTGAGGGCGGCCCTGGAAGGTGCCTTCGAGTGCAACTGCTGGCTGCAGGGCCTGGGGGCCACAGACTGTGGCCTCAAACACATTGTGGAGGTGGAGACTTCTAAGGATCAATCACATTGATTAGTCACCTCAAAGGCCAGAGAGAACCCTCACCACTCATTCCTCAGAGGGCTTGAGCCCCACTGTCTAGTACTTGGGGTGGGGAGGGGGGAGGCTGAGATGGTGCTGTGTACTGAGAATTGCTGGGAAGAGTGGGGGGCAATCCTCAACCTCTGAGGCGGGGAGTCAGCGGATCAGTGCTTGGGGATGTGGGCAGGGCACTGACCATGCCTGTTACATCGCCCTCTCCATCTTCCCTCCCCTTTCTCCTTTCTTCCTCTTTTGCTTTCCACCTCTCACCTCTAGATTCTTACTGTGCCTCATCTTCTCAGCATCTTTTCCTACGGTGCCTGGAATTCATGTTTCTTAAAGTGTGGTCCCTCGACTATCCAGGAATCTTGTTAAAAATATAGATACAGGGTCCTGCCTCAGCCCCAGTAAAGCAGAACCTTTGGTTATGGGCCTGGGAAGCTGCATTTAAACAATATCCCAAATGATTCTGATGCACGAGGAAGCTGCTGCTCTAATCCACTACATCCCGGTGGCGACAGGGATTTGCCGGTCAGTTCTGGAATCTCCAGGCCCCGCCCTGGCCCCCACCTGCCTCCTTGGGCTTGGCCGACACTGTGATCACCTCACTTCTCTCCAGGCTCCAGCTACTTCACTCTATGTAGCATAATATCCAATTCACAGAGTTACACACAGTCATACCATTATTCAAGTGGTTTTGTACATGACCAGACAGCATAATATAGCTATGTACAGACTCTGTGACAATTTTATAGTGTGTGCGCACGCAAACACACACACACACACACACACACACACACACACACACACGTCTCACGGTGAACCACCAAATCACACACAGCAATGCACCATCTCACAGTAACACGGCACACAGATTGTCACAGCATGGAAAAGGGCGCTTTAGAGCCTTCTGGTGACATAGCTACACACCACACAATACAGCTGCACAGCAAGACAGAAACACACACACACTCACACACACACACACTCACACACACACACACACTCAGACCACAGCAGCACACACACACACACACACACACACACACACTCAGACCACAGCAGCACACACACACACACACACTCAGACCACAGCAGCACGCGCACACACACACACACACACACACACACTCAGACCACAGCACCACACACACACACACACACACACTCAGACCACAGCAGCACACACACACACACACACTCAGACCACAGCAGCACACACACACACACTCACACACACACACACACACACACACACACTCAGACCACAGCAGCACACACACACACACACACTCAGACCACAGCAGCACACACACACACACTCACACACACACACACTCAGACCACAGCAGCACACACACACACACACACACACACACACTCAGACCACAGCAGCACACACACACACACTCACACACACACACACTCAGACCACAGCAGCACACACACACACACACACACACACACTCAGACCACAGCAGCACACACACACACACACACACACACTCAGACCACAGCAGCACACACACACACACACACACACACACACACACACACACTCAGACCACAGCAGCACACATGGACTCTTACATACTGGCCCCAGAGATGCACAGACATGGCCATCCACGGTACTGGCCATAACATCCTGCTGAAAAAACACGCCATCCACAGCCTCTCTGCACCCCTGTAGCACACAGTCCAACTGGACTGATTCAGCCACAGCCAGACAGAGCAGGGCGGCTTGGGACTGCGTTGGAGACGATGCCAGGGAAAAGGTTGGCTTTGTTTGAACAGATGTCTGCTAAAGGAGCTGGGGTGTTACTTAGCCGCTTCCATGAGCTGTTGGATTCCAGTAGCTCCGAGCCTGCGGGATTCATTAGTGGCCCCAGAGCAATTGCTCCTCCTTCACACTCTCCACCCTCACTGACGTTCACTTCCTTGCCACAGCAGCCAGCCTCCAGCCCCACTGCCAATGCCCTATTTGAACAAGAAGAGCAGAAGCCAAGCAAATATTTGTGTCTTCAGGCCTCACTTGGCACTGCCTGTGGTGGGGCTTCCTTCTGAGATCTAGACTAACCCGTTGCCAGGCAGATTTTTCCCGACTTGGCCTGGGCAGGGGGTGGGGGCCAGGCTGAGATCTGTCTGGACCTCTCCTGTTATGCTGGGATGATCCTTCTCCCTCTCTCCCCACACTCACCACGCTGCCTCCTCTTCCATTGACAGCCAGCCTCTCCTAAGAGTGGGCCACACCAGCTGTCTCATCTCCCGTCATCTCCCAACCCGCTGTAATCTGGGACCCATTCAACATGGCCCCAATGCCTTCATCGAGGGCCTCTAATGTCATCTTCATGCTCCACAGCCACTTGATGGCCTTCACAGTTTTGGGCCCAATTCTGCCCTCCCACATCTGATATAAGCATACACCCATCTCCTGTTTCTTTTCCTGCCCCTGAGCTTGCCCCTTCCCATCTCCTTCCCAGCGCTTTCTTGGCTGCTGCCCTTAGATATGGTACTACCCAGCGCTCAGTCATGGACCCTCTCTAGCTGCTCCCGGAAGAGCCTGAGAACTCCTACCCCCCATGACATCTAGGATCCCTTCTATTGGTGGTCAAGTGCAGTGGTTGAGAGCACTACTCCCTACATTGCCTTGGTTCAAACCCTTGCTTTGACATTTGCTGTCTGTGTGGCCTTGGAGATGTTGCTTTGCTTTTGTGTGCCGTGGTTTTCTCATCTGTAAAATGGAGGAGGGTGGGCAATGATAACTTTTGGGTTTTGAAATGGTTAAATGAGTTAATAGATGTAAAGTGCTTAGGACATGCCCAATACATAATATCTGCTGTATAAGGGCTGCTATTATTACCGTGACATGGTGATACCTTACACACCTGTGTTTGTAATAAAAGAGAAATATGCTGTGGTCGCCAGCCTCGTGGAGCTGGAATGCAAAGGGAAATGAAGACTAACAGGTGGCCCCCGAACACAGGCAGATATGACTGAGGAGCTCCCAGTTTATGAACAAGCACAGTGGTGTCCCCCTTGACCTATGTCACCAATGGGATATTGTGAAAGTGACAATATGTGACTCCCCGGACTGGGTCAGGAAAGACCTGCAGTTGCCACCTTGCTCTGTCTCGGACCACAGGGTCTGGGGGCAGCTGGGTGCCCTGTTTCAGGGACACTCAGGCAGCCCTAGGGGGAGGCCCATGTGCAGAGGGATTGAGGCCTTTCACCAACAGTCAGTCAATTTGCTCTCCAGGTGGGTGAGTCCTCCTGGAAGTGGATCCTTGGTCCCAGTCAAGCCCTGAGATGACAGCTGACATCCTGACTGCAACCCTATAGAGACCCAAACCAGAACCTCCCAGCTAAGCCAATCCTGAATTCTTTATTTTTAATCCTCATCCGAGGATATTTTTCCATTGATTTTTAGAGAGAGTGGAAAAGAAAGAGGGAAAGACAGAGAAAAATATCGATGTGAGAGAAACACATAGATTGGTTGCCTCCTGCACACTCCCCGACCAGGGTCCGGGCCAGTGAGGAGCCTGAAACCAAGGTACATGCCCTTGACTGGAATCAAACCCAGGACCCTTCAGTCCCCAGGCTGATGCTCTATCCACTGAACCAAACCAGCTAGGGCCCAATCCTGAATTCTTAATTCACAGGAACCACAAGAGAGAAGAAATATTTATTGTTGTTTTAAGCTGCATGTTTGGGATAATTTTTTTCATCCAGACATAGATAATATACCCACATTTTCCAATTCAGCACTCTTAAGAAGTGACAAAACAAAGATTCTTTTATACTATTATGCCCATTGGAGAGCCCTGCCCAGTCTTCATTCATACTTCTGTTCCTCCAATTGAACCCTTGAACTCTCTCCCTTATCTTGATGGGGATAAAGGTTGATGTATGGCTTGAAGGCAATGTAAGAGTTTATCTAATAAGTGGGCACTTAACTTGTCTTCAGGAAATACATGGACTTCTTGAAATTGTCAATGGAATGTATGTGCAAGGGTATCCTCTGAGGAGAGTCCATAGCTTCAATGAAATTCTAAAGGTGTCAGGACACTAAAATATTTTCAACCACTGATCCAATGCAGCACCCATTTAAAAGATGGGAAGACTGAGACTCACCTGAGATTGTCCAGTAAGACCGTATCAGAGGCAAAACTGGGAACCACATGTTGTGGGAAATGATCTCCTCTGCACTAGTGCCACATACAGTGTAACCTCACTGTTCAGAAGACTTAGTGGACTGTTTTGCAGAGATGTAGAAAGCAAGATATCAGACCAAAGAGATTCAGGGAAGCTTCTTTAGTGGAAGCTTAAGAATGAGGTGTTAGCCCTAGCTGGTTTGGTTCAGTGGATAGAACGTCAGCCTGGGGACTGAAGGGTCCCAGGTTTGATTCCGGTCAAGGGCACATGCATGCTTGATCCCCAGTAGGGGGCGTGCAGGAGGCAGCCGATCAATGATTCTCTCTCATCATTGATGTTTCTATCTCTTTCTCCCCCTTTCTTCCTCTTGAAATCAATTTAAAAAAAAAAATGAATGAGGTGATATTTGCGACACTCACTGGGGAATGGGAGAAGGAATGAAGAGAGTGTGCAGAAGGACTTCTGGCAACAATCAGGGTCCAGAGAATGTTAGAGACCAGAAATTTGTAGGAACACTTAGCACACCAAATATAAGGGCCAAGAGTGAATGGGATTGGATAAAGCCTGGGGCTCTAGCAGAGAACTAATGCATGTCTTCATTACCATAGTCTCTCTAGAACCCAGCTCCGTGCTCAATAACAATGTATTGGATCAATAAATGAATGAGTGAGTGAATAAATGAGGGCGGCAGAAGGACTCCCTAGCAGCCTCTGTGGGATAAGCAGGTGGAAAGAGAACTTCTTATGTGTTATCATCCATTAATACCTGCTCTAGAGATAACATGATTAACTCCAGAGAACAGGTGTCAGAGAGTGGGCGCATAATGGGGCCAGGGTTCCCGGGTGACAGGAGGAACTCCGGAGGCCTGCTGGGAGGAGGGGGTCCTGCTGAGGTGAAGGGGTCAGAGACAAGCCTCAGGCCCTGCTGCTTTGCCCTGGAGGCTCTGTGCAGGCCCCTCCCTCAGTGGAGGGGCTGCTC